GCCGCGCTCGCAGGACGGATCCCGCCGTCGCCCCCCGCAGACCAGCCTCGCCCGGCCACTTATTCCAGGCAGGTTCTCCTGCTGAATTGATGGCGCACGGACGGGGCAGGTGCCGTCTCCTCGCTCTGAGTTGCAGTTTTGTCAGCCGCGCTCTTAAACCGACCGGAGAGAAGGGAGGGGGGAGGCAGGACTGAGCCCCCAGCCTGGCCGGCGGGGGTGTCCGATCTCCCCCGGGGGCCGGGTCACGAGCTGCAGGAAAGTCACGGCGCGCCCAGGACCTGGCCGTGGGGCCGGTGGGGTCTCTCGGAGAAGATAGACGCAGGACCAGGGAGTGGAGCGGAGAGTCCCCGCTTTGTTGTAAAGTGGGAGCCCCCAAGGGGCTTCGCCGACCTTGTGCAGAGCAGGCCAGTGTGACGAGGTGACTGGGCCGAAGGCAACCAGAGCCCCGGTGCCGGCGACCTGCTTGGTGATTTCTCGTGTCAGGGCGTCAAACCCGCTTCCGTGGCTTCTCCGCCGAGGGACCCTGCAGCGGGTTCCTGTCCCCTGGCGAAGGGAAGGCTCTGGTTCGGCTGCGGTTCTCCTGCACTTGGTGTGTTTCTGTTTGTTTTGTTTTAGCTGCAGAGAAACTCCAATAATAGAAGGAAAGTGGGTTTAAAAACAGCCTTGACGAATGTATAGCAGGAACCGTGTGGATTCCCTCTCCCGAATTTTAAGTGAGTTGCCGCGTTGGCCGTAGGTGTGCTTCTGGGTGGGTTACCAGCTCTTGGAGCTGTGGGTTTTGAATCATAATACCCCCCAAGCCGTGGGTTAGATCCATTACTACCCTGGACTTGGAGTCAAAGTAAAAGGGGCCCTTGTTTGAAACCCCTGTATTGGGGGGTGGGGGGGTGGAAAGTGAATTTCTATTCCTTGGAAAGGTGTCAGAGGCAGAAAAAGATGGGCAGGTGGTTTTCTGCTCAACTTAATGGTTCTGTCCCAGGAAGGTCCCTTGCTGTGGTGGGGGTGGAGTGTCATGGATACCAGTTTCCAGAGGTACCCTTGGAAATAGCTTCTCACCTATTTGCCTCATCAGAACCCTGACTCTGTGGCTTTATAATTTGCCTTTTATTGACAGTTTACTTCTAGATTGGGTTTGTAAAACTTCTGAGTGGTCAAGATCCTGTACACATGTGTTAGCTATAGTGTGCAGAGGGAGAGGAACTCAGACCCGTGCAGTTAGTGAGCAGGAGTATCCGACCTACACCTGAAGCAGGCAGCTGTGTGTGTGTGTGTGTGTGGAGTGGGTTGGCCCATAGTATTTGCAGGGATCACACAATGAGGCATGTTGTCTACACACTTCCAGGCCCAGAACATGCTGCCCTCGTGTCACAGCAAGGGGTTGGGCTAAGAAAGGAAGCGCAATGAACAAGCTTAGGGTCTTGTAAATACAGGGCTGTGTGACGAGGGTCGTTGGATGTATGCAGTTAAGGTTAGGAGAGGTGGCTGATTAAACCTGCCGTCTTTCACCCGCTTCCGAGCTCCGCAGTCAAAATGCTGAGCCCCAGCTCCAATAGAGCCCAACTGGTAGTGACATATTCGTTCACCCATGGTGATGCTCTAAAGCTAATCTGTATTAGAATCTGTTCTGGACTAACGGGCGCGTTAAACACTTATAACTTAACTGAATTGATGAGAATTCGGTGCTTCCCCAGGTTCTTCAGAAAATCAGCAGTTCTGCTAAAAAAAGGCCCCTGCCTTTCCCATTTATGTCTCTGCACAGGAAACCTGCCTTTTCGTTGAGAGATCCTGTCACAGAAATGTGTGAGCCCTTGGATAAATTTGGCCTGGTGACGGCAATGCCTTCTTCAGAGACACTGCTGCTTCCTCCGCACTCCTTTTCTACGCTGCCCTGAGTTTCCTCGTGTTAATCCCAGTGACCAGTCAGCGGGTTTGTCCTCTCCACACTTTCTAGACACTAGGTACCCTCTTCTTTCTCTCACCCCTTTCAGGAGGACCTGGGGTTGAAGCCTCAACACTGCGGCCGCAAGGGAGATGGGGGCCTCCGAATCAGTACTCTTGGCGGTCCGGCCTTAGTTGGGTTCTTCTCTGCTGCTGTTGGCAAAATTTCTGGAAGCCGCTGGGGGCTATCTGGGTAGCTGCAATGGAGCTCCGTCACCTTGCGAGGCAGAGCAGCCAGGTAGCCCTGTGCGACGCTGTGGACTGGACTTCAGGAGGGCCTCTCGCTGACCAGGCAGAAGCAGCCACCAAAGCTGCTCTCTGCTGCCAGAGACACTGCACATCCACCCCAAGGGCAGCCAGGGTGCAAGGCTCTAAACTTGGCCCTTCTCCAGCACCCCCCTCCTCCTCTCTGCAGGACAGTGTTATCCAGCCAGACCCCTTCCCACCAGGACCCCTCAACTCAGGGAATAGCCAGAGAGCAGAACGCAAAGTCTGCAACTGCTGCAGCCAGGACCTAGAAACTTCTTTCACTTATGTGGATGAGAATGTTAACTTGGAGCAGAGGGACCGGGGCTCCCCTTCCGCAAAGGGGAGTAATCGCCTGGGGGACCCTGGCTGGGGAAATCCAAATGAGTGGCCCCACGAGGCTGCCGCGTCCTTGATATCCGACGATGAGGATGACACAAGCTCGGAAGCCGCGTCTTCAGGGAGGTCAGTGGACTATGGTTTCATCAGCGCCATCCTGTTCTTGGTCACCGGCATCTTGCTGGTGATCATCTCCTACGCTGTCCCGCGGGAAGTGACCGTGGACCCCAACTCCGTGGCGGCCCGGGAGATGGAACGGCTGGAGAAGGAGAGCGCGAGGCTGGGGGCGCACCTGGACCGCTGTGTGATTGCGGGGCTCTGCCTGCTCACTCTTGGGGGCGTTGTTCTGTCCTGTCTGCTGATGATGTCTATGTGGAAGGGGGAGCTGTATCGGCGCAACAGGTTTGCCTCTTCCAAAGAGTCTGCAAAACTCTATGGCTCTTTCAGCTTCAGGATGAAATCCAGCAGCAATGAAAACACCCTGGAGCTGTCCTTGGTGGAGGAAGATGCCCTGGCCGTACAGAGTTGATTCCGGCCGTGGGCTTCTGCGAGGCTGACCTGGCATTTCACATGGACACTCAAATAAAAACAAACCATGTTTCTTAAAATTAACGGTGCACTTGGTTGGCCTGGCAGGAAAAGTTGATTTCCTAACCCAACAGCCTGTGAGGGTTTTTGCTCTCCATGTATTTTTTATTTAGAAGAAAAGCCATGTACACTGCATCCAGAAACACACCCAGCTACACTGTGTAGCTTCTAAAGAGCTAAGACTAATTAATCTGTAATGGCCATCAGCACCTACTTCTATAGCAAAATATTTCATCACATAATAAGGCTTATATTTAATTCTCCAAGATTTTTTTCTATTTTCTTGTTAATTTTTTCTTCCTATAATTCGGCTGCACACTAAAATATAGGGTTTTGAGTTTGAGTCTCGAAAATTGAGGATTGTTGGTTATTTTTTTAAAACTGTAAATTGCACATGTTTAAAATTATTCCTGTACTCAGAAGTGGTAAGTCATCAGAATACACTTTTTAGTAAAAGGAAATTATATAAATCATTCCAAAACCAATTTGAATTTGACCCATCATGGCAGTGCCAGATATTAACCAGTGTCACATGCCTGTTGTTAGATGAAGTACAATTAGTTGCTGATATAAATTTCATTTTCTGTCTGTGGTTTAGCTATGATACTGGTTACCCATGATCTTGAAGTCTTTCCTGGCTCTCACATCAGAGAGGCAAAGCGTAAGACATTTTTAATATATTTCCAGACATGCAAACATCTAGGCAGGTCTGAGACATGATTGGCTCAGGCACACTCCCAGGTGACGTTGTAGTGTTGTTTAGAGAAAACGTCCAATACAATTGCAGCTACACTGGGGGACTGTGCCTAGAAGCCCATATCACTTGCTCCAGGCCAGGAAATAAGACACTGTTCCAGTGTCCTTAAGCCCATAGACAAAAAATTCAAATAGAGATATTAAATATACTGATTCAATGGGAACTGCACCCCTCATCACAGTGGTCTAGGCATCATTCTGAACTCATATCCAGGCCCTCAGTAACTGAGCTCTGGCCTCAGGAAGCTCTATGAGAGGCATGGTGGGCAATGTGGTCACAACTTGCAAAACACCCAGTGTCCACACTAACACCATCTCCCTGCGGCAATATTTAGGAAATGCAGAAAGATCTTGCATTTTGCAACCATTCCTTGAGGTGTTTCCAATCTCACGCTGGAGGATTTGTTGTGACTCCCATTACTGTGTTACCATGATCAGTAGGGTCATTCTTAAAAAGTACTGGAGCTGGGAATTGGGTGGAGGGCAGGCATTGGGAAATGAGAAGATGGTTTCTTTGTAGACTATAAAGCCTAATTCTAATGTCTGAAGTTTTTGTTGTTGAGGACTGTGGGATATGTGGGTGACTTTGGCTGGCAGAGTGTGTGAGTCAGAATATCTATGTGAATGAGCTCTTGGGTGTCAGATGGACTTGATGAGTATGCAGTGTGTTACTAAGGGTTAAGGGGAAACACAAAAGGGAAGATCAGAGGATAGTGAAAAATAGGACGGGTATGTGAAAAACCTATTAGGTAAAACCAAGAAATATATGGACATTGGAGGGAGCTAGAAAGAGATCAGTTACCCTATAGAACAGACTATGATTGATTCAGAAAGAATTGGGACAATATACACATAATTTCTGTTTTCTGTTGCTGGCTCTTTGTGCTTTTTGAACAAACTTTTTGTTTTACTGTGAATCTCATGCCATTTTGTGGTTTGCATTGAGGCCAGCTTACCAGGAGTATAAATTTCATGTTTTGAAGGTTTATAAGTTGTCACTTTCTAACCTGCTTAAGGCCCCTCCTTGGGTGATGTTGAGGCAATCAGGGGTATGATCTACTGCTTGGGTGAGTGAGTAGGTCTGAGCTGTTTGTTTTCTGTTTTAAATACATTTAAAAAACACATGTTTATTCATAGAAGCTAAGTGGGATCGGCTGAGTTTGTTTTTATTTATTGATGAACAAAACTAATTTAGCCAAATCACAGACTAAACTGAATTAATTGTGTGGCCTGATTTTCAGCTCATTTTCAAACAAATTTAAGAATCAGGGGTTAGGAAGTTTCTTTTAATTCTGTAAAACTTATAATAAAGGAGAAAAACACTAAAGATTTTTAGCTTTTCATTTGGAAGCATTTAATATATCTCACAGTGCTACCAAATGATATATTGTTCTAATGTGATCTAAAGGGGGTGTGTGTGTGTGTGTGTGTGTGTGTGTGTGTGTGTGTGTGTAAAGAGAGAGAGATTAGGACAAGAAAATATTCAGAAGAAAAAAGATTTAACTAGTTAGATTTATTTTTTAAATTTTAAAAATTGAAATGTAGTAAGTAAATGCTTATTTCAACATTATTCAAATATGTTCACTTATAGGGTACATTTTTTTAAGGTTCTAAATAATAGGAAGGCAGGCCATTATACCAAAAGGACCCAATTCAGAAAATCATCTGGATGTCTCCTTTAGAGCTGTGTTGACATAATCAGATAACTGCCTTAGTCAACTTTTACATAGGTATTAGGTTGTGTAGCCCTAGACCATCCTTTCAGTGCCTGAATCCGAGATGAAGATTACTTGAATTGAAAGTGTTGGTAGCACAGGCAACTAAAAACCCTGAGGTTTAGACATGTTTCCAATCTGATGAAAAGGGCTTTGGGGGCTCTAAATACTTGTTTAGAAGCACTTTGGCCAGATCAGGTGATAACTGATACAGACATTGAGTAGACCATAGCTGTGGTGCTGATCTTCAGTCCTTCATGAAGATTTATGACCTTACACCTCTCTCTCTTCAACATGGTGCTGGTTGTTACCTATGAGAGTTTTTATTGCCAGACGTGGAAAAACAAAACTTTTTTCAAAGATCCATAGTTTAGGTCTTTAACTTATGTATCAGGTTTCAGAAAGCTAAACTCAGAGTCACCTTCCCAATCTTAAGAGGAGGCAGCTCATTGTTTAACAGTGCAGCCCAAAGGGGTGAATATCAGAAAGAAAGCTGTCTCTCTCAATTTTTATACGCTGCTAACGGACAGTTTAATCCTTTTAATCACTTTAATAAACTGTTCCTTTCTAGGGCACCTAAAACTGTCAGTGGCAGAGCTGAATGAAGTCTTTTCTTTGCAATGTTGTATGTCCTTTCCAGCCATTGGAACTCCTGAGGCAGACCCTGTACTACCATGTCCTGGCCCCCTCATAAGAAGAATGTCTTCTCTTCAGGCTTCTCATTTCACAGCTGACTTATAAGTTAGAAGAGTACAGGACTGCTTGGAACCATGAAGTTGTTGGTGACTGTGGGTGCTCTTACCCAGGACTGCTATGCCCCTTGATTCTGTACCACCTAGATACTGCCTTGATATCAGTATCACATGCTTTGCTCTCTGCTTAAAAGATCGAGTTCATCCCTCTCATACTTATTTGTTTTAGGGACTGAGTTGGACCAGTGCTGGAACAAAGTCCTTCAAGGTGCAAATTCAGACAAAGAGACTGCCCTTCCAAATTCATTTGTGCCTTACCTTTGCCTCTCAGCGTAAGAATAAATGAGTGAGTGAGCATTATGCCAGTTGAATATCAAGCATGAAGGGTCTGAACCCAAGTGACTATACATTTTGTTACTTCTCTGTGATAGGCAAAAATTCCAGGCAAGAGAACTTGACCATTTCAGTCATTCACATGTGACAGACACAGGCAAAACCTTACCTGGATTAATCATCTGAAGTTAAATAAAAAATGTGTTTATATCTATTAGGAGCAGGTTTTTCAATCTGAAGGTCAGGTTCCATTGCAGCAATTACTGCTGTGACAAAAATGTGGTCTGACAAAAGAGATTCGCAACCTTCACCAATGGTTTACTTATTCAGCAATATTTAATACTACCAACTAGATTCCTCTGTGACAAAGGAATAAGACAGATCCTTCCAGGTCTTTGTAATGGAGTTTGACCTTTCCAAGAACTGGGCATAAAGAATAACTATAATGAGAAGAATTATAATGGCTTTTCCCAGTGTAAAAGGGTTCATAAGAATTAACATATTGTCCTTCAGCTGATTTTCAGCTATATCACTTTATGGTTCATAGAATTCGATAATATTCTCTCTTTCCAACTTTTTATGGACATAAGTTTTGGGAGATAATTTGCCTGACTCATGCACTGACACTGTAAAAAGTAAGATGTTATTTTAAATACGTAAAATTGATTTCAAAAATTCGTGGCTAACACGTAAGAGCATTCCTGTGGCTTATGTTTGTTAGTGTGCAAGTTGAAGTACACTCAAGTCTATATGAGTCTTAGGAGAATATTTTGTAACTATAGAACTGTAATATCCAAAGCTATTGTTAGAGTAATTTTCTTATAGGAAATTTGGCATGCCTTAATGTTGGCTTTTAGGACAAGAGAAGTCTTTCATGGGTCATGAATGAAGAATTTGGAATCAACCTCAGAATGAGATGCCATAATTTTATAGATTTCTTTTGGTTGTTCAGCATCCCACAGACATTTGACTGTTTTAACTTCTCAGTTTCAGGCTCATAGAGTATGGCATATTTAGAAATTATTTTACCATGAATTATTTTATTTCAGAGAAATATGGGAAGCAGACAGTATTTTCCTTTGATCCAAGTCTTAGTAACCCTGGAACAGCCAGACTTCTTTGCCCACTGCCACCTTCACGCTCCCTAGTCAGGCGAAGACAGGCTGTTATATAGCATATTGAGAGTTTTTACTTTGTGGTTTTCGTTGTGCTTTTAATTTTACTTTTCTTGCCAAACAAGAAAAATAATTCAATGTTGACTATGTGTTACTTGATATTGTAAAGGGGCAGTTATTAAGGTTATGGGCTTTTTCTTAGGGCATTTGATGCCTTATATGCTAATAGCAAGTGTGTCATACCATTTTAAAATGGAAACTATTAAGATATTGTGTTTAACTTTTATTTAAATCTGAATCTGTGTTGCTAATTTAATCTTTTAAAAATTATATTGAAATTACGTTTCCAGAAAAAATAAAAGTAATATTTACTCCTGATTCAAGTATAAGGTTCTTCTTGCTACCTATCATTGAACAATGTAAGCTATGCCTTATTTTATTTTAATTTATATGAAATAGTCAAAGCTATCTGAGTTTCTCTAAATTACTCAAGTATTGAACTTAGACTGTGAATTGCATGATGTGGAAAAATACATAAGTAGAAATTTTAAAAAACAACTAAAAATCTAGAAAGCTTTCAGGTGAGAAACAAATATTGATTTAGCTATGGCCCTGCTCTTAAACTTCTCTTAACCTAATTTTGATCTCCATTTTCCTTTGAGGGATGCATCCTAATCTGTATTATTAAGTAGAATTGTAATGGGACAATTTGAAGTGAGAATTCTAATGGGACAATTTGAAGTGAGGCCCCCAAATATTGCTTCACTTATTTAAAACAAAAATTGGATCAATATGCTTATTTACAATAAAGAAATAAAATCTAGTTTTTAAA